ATGATTGAAATCGGGAAGCGGCCCATTTCTCGTAAGCAGAACTGTCGAATCTGTGTCGATGCATGATGAACCGAAAGTCGAGCTACGGTGCGAAACTGAAAGTCGAGCTACGGTGCGAAACTGCGCGCTGACCCTCCTCGTCCTGGTCTTCATCTTCGTCCCCATCGTCCTCTACCTCCTCCTCCTCCCCCCCATTGCTCTCTCCCTCCTTGACAGTTTCGCATTGTACCTCTACTTTCAGTTCATCCCGCATCGACACATGATGTCTGGGTCAGCGCACAGTTTTGCACCGTAGCTCGACTTTCGGTTCATCACGCATCGACAAACTGAGTTCTGCTTACGAGAAATGGGCCGCTTCTCGATTTCAATCATCGTATACGTTCGCTGAAAAAAAAATAAAAACAAATTGAAAAGCTGACATGACAGGGCGATGGGGAGGAGGAGGAGGAGCAAGACGACAATGGGAGGGAGGAGGAGGAGGAAGAGGGTGATAGGGAGGAGGAGGAGGAGGAGGAAGAGGGCGATGGGGAGGGGGAGGAGGAGGAAGAGGGCGATGGTGAGGAGGATGAGGAAGACGAAGATCGGGATGAGATGGAAGATGAAGATCGAGAGGAGGAGGAGGAAGAGGAAGATCGGGGTCCCGATCTTCCTCTTCCTCCTCCTCCTCTCGATCTTCATCTTCCATCTCATCCCGATCTTCGTCTTCCTCATCCTCCTCACCATCGCCCTCTTCCTCCTCCTCCTCCTCCCCATCGCCCTCTTCCTCCTCCTCCTCCTCCTCCCTATCACCCTCTTCCTCCTCCTCCTCCCCATTGCACTGTTCCTCCTCGTCCCGGTCTTCATCTTCATCCCCATCGTCCTCTACCTCCTCCTCCTCCTCCCCCTCATTGCCCTCTCCCTCCTTGACAGTTTCGCATCGTACTTCTACTTTCGGTTCATCCCGCATCGACACATGATGTCTGGGTCAGCGCGCAGTTTCGCACCGTAGCTCAACTTTCGGTTCATCATGCATCGACAGACTGAGTTCTGCTTACGAGAAATGGGCCGCTTCCAGATTTCAATCATCGTATAAGTTCGATGGAAAAAAAAGTTATAAAAAAAATTGAAAAACTGACGTGGCAGGGCGATGGGGAGGAGGAGGAGGAGGAAAACGATGATGGGAGGGAGGAGGAGGAGGAAGAGGGTGATGGGGAGGAAGGAGAAGGAGAGAAGGAGGGTGAAGCGATGGGGAATCGACAACTTTCTCAACCATTAAGAAAGCGAGGTGAAGGGATGGAGAGATGAGGTAGGAGGAGGAAAGGAGAAGAGGCGGAGGACAGATGGATGGGGGATGAAGAAGAGGAGCCACGAGGATGGGGAAAGGCGGACGAGAGATGGAGAAGACGATGGCGGACGCGGAAGAGGAAAGCAGTACAGAAGCAAAAAAGAAAAAAAATGATGGTCGCGATTCCAGCGACAGCTTTCTCGATGATGAAGAACGGCACGTGAAGCGATGGATAATACGAGGTGGGAGGAGGAGGAAGAGGAGGTAGGAGGACGAGATCTGGATGAAGGAAGATGAAAGAGTAGCGAGGAGTACGGACAACAGGAAAGGCGGAGCAATGCAGAACACGATGGTGGAGGAGAAGGAGGAGACGAGAGTGGTGAAAAAATAAAAATAAAAAAAATCGTAATTGCAACTGGAGTGACAACTTTCTCGACAATGAAGAAAGCGATGTTGACAGATGGAGAAGACGAGGTAGGAGGAGGAGAGGAGGGAGGAGGAGTAGAGATGGGCCAGGGGTGAAGAAGACAAGCGTCGAGGATGGGGAGCAGGCAAGGCGGACAAGAGATGAAAAAACGATGGTGGTGGAGGAGGAGGAGGAGGACAGATGGACGAAGGATGAAAAAGATGAGCGAGGAGGATGGACAGCATGAAAGGCGGTGCAATGGAGATGGTGTACGCGTACGCCTCCAACCATGCCCGACGACAATGTGTGTGTGTGTGTATGTGTGTGTGTGTGTGTGTGTGTGCTGTCTCTTATACACATCTAGATGTGTATAAGAGACAGCTCCCACACACGGACACGCAGTCGCACAACCAAT